GTCTCCCCCATGAACAGCCTTGATTTGTCTCCCCCCCCCCCGTGGGGTCTTGTTTCTGTCTGCAGCTCCGCCTGAAGTTCCTGAAGCAGCAGGAGGAGATCCGGCGGCTGAGGGAGCTCCTCAATCAGAGGGACGTTCGTGTCAAACAGCTGGAGCTGGAGATCAAGAACATCAAGAACTCTCAGAGTCAGAACTCCTTATGAGACCCCCACTTCCATGGGGGGGCACGTTGACCTGCACAGACAGTATCAGAAGGAGCTCGTTCTCCAGAAACGTTCTGACTCTTCTCCTCTGAAGAGCCCCACGCTGCCGTGCGGACTCGAACCTCCGGTTTGTTTCAGACGGTGCACAGATGTTTCAGAAACGTTTCAGATCTTTGATCCTGGTTCTCCGCTCGGCGCCTCACACTATGCAACTTCACTGGGTTTGGAGCGTTTTCTGCTTTTTGTGGTTCCGTGATGGAAGACCCGGACTGAACGGTTCGTCCAGGAGCTGCTTCACGAGGACAAGATGTTGGTTTCTGCTCCGTCGTTTTGTTTAAACATCTGTAAAGAGTCGTGCTGTCATTCCTTTTATTTTTCATTATTTTAAATGACTGGAAACTTGTTTTATTGTCAGAAGATCACGTGTCGGCCGTTTGAGTCATTCAGGCCATTTTTCAAGGTTTTCAACCAAATCTTTGTTTTAATTTCAAACTCAATCCAAGAAAAGAAGCTCAGTTAATCCAGAATACCTTTACAGATTATAATCTAACTTCTGTTGCTCTGACGCGTCCTAACGGTTTGCTCCTTTCAGAAACGTTCCTGTCGAACTTCACGACAAATGTTCTCCTGCCTGTAGTCCACATTAAACCCGAGGCCCTGCAGGTCCCAATATTAGTCCTAATAATATCCAGTAACAACTTTATTAATTAAATTATGAATTAAACTATTAATAGCTCTTCTCTGTGGTTTTAGTTTTTAATTGAACTGCAGCATGATGAGGAATGTTCAGGCATTTACACACAAGGTTACAAACATTTGATGATATTTAAAAAAGGATTTATTTATAAAACTCAGATTTTCAGCTGTTTCTAATGAACGTCAGATCAGCACCAATAATTGTTTGTTGCTTCCAAGCCAAAGAATAAAAAACATCTACCACGATAACAACCACTTGGTAAAATAAATCAAATCTGCACTTTCCCGTGACTCTTTTATTTATTTACTTTTCAATGAATGAGATTATTCTGGGGGGGTGAAATATGTAATGTACATAAAAGGAGTTGTGTTCTTTGAAGAGACGCACGTCGGCTCTCACACGATCAGCACTCGGAGAATGTTTCAGGGATGACTCTCAGCTACCACTAGACTTTTAGCTCACCTGTAAACTGGACTGTTAGAAACATTTGTTTTGTGGCTAGCTGTGGCAGCCATCTTGAATGGGGTTCGTTATCGATACGTGTCGTTCCTCATGTTCGGTTCAAATCTGTCCACTGGTTCGTGACGGAGCTGGGTGGATCGTCGCGTTTGGATCGTTTCTCAAATAAACACCTGCTAACAGGGTTTGGATCTAAAACAGATTTCCCACAATCAAACTTCTGAATCAGATTCTCCGTTCTCGGTTTCAAACGTCACTTTTCAAAAAGTACCCCCCGGCCTGTGAGAAATCCAGAGCTGGAAATAAGTTTGAAGAAGAGCGAAGTGTTAATTCTGACTCGGACATTAAACCCAAACTGAACCCGTTTCTACTCAGCGGTACTTTACGCTTCCATTTCTTACTATTTTAGATTAGACCCGCTTCGAGTGTCACGGGGGCCGAAGGTGCAAACACACGAACCATGCAAACTTTAAAAAACAACAAAAAACAGAAAAACTCTGCAGAAAACAAGAAACAACGCAACCAGCAAAACCAGTGTAACAAACTGAAAGTTAGAGATCATCGTATGTTCCCATACAGCAGTCGTCCTCTAATGAAAGAGTTGGGGGTTCAAGTCCACCAACAGTCACATGCCAAAGTGCCCTTGGGCAAGACACAGAACCCCTTGTTGCCTCCGATGTGTGTCCCATCAGTGAATGTGATAAAGCTCTGATTATTCTCTTTAG